CAGCATGTAGTTGATCGCGATGGCGTTAGGCTGTACACCCGACTCCAGCATCTCGCCAAACAGCTCCAGAGCTTCAGACATGCGTCTCGCCTAAAAAGTTATTAATAGGATCACATGATTGCAACGGCGATTGAATGATTCCATGAATGCACGATTGAATGATTATGAGTTGACTTAATTCCTGCACACATGATGGCATTGGAGATTGCATCAGTACATGATGACACGAATATTTGCATGATTGTGTTTCACGTGGGTAACGTCAAACAAGGGATCATCCCGTGTTACTGCTGTACAACATAAATCCGATCGCAACACACCGACAACAAGATGACGAGACTAAATTATTTATTCAAGTATTTTATCCGACAAAGGACACAGGCTTCCCTCGTGGTTGGGAGAGGTGGTGCAAACAATCAGCCGTGCAACGCGCTCGCGCCAGGACGGACGAGGCGGAGGAAGAGAGGCGCGAGGAGAAGCAACGCCGCCTCGCGGCGGAAGACGAGGTAGCGCAGCTCAAACAACAACTCGCCGCTACCCGCTCGGCAACCCCGCTTGCACGTGGGACACCGCCGGAACGCGTGCTCCGCGCCGATGTTGTTGTTTGAGCTGCGCTACCTCGTCTTCCGCCGCGAGGCGGCGTTGCTTCTCCTCGCGCCTCTCTTCCTCCGCCGCGTCCGTCTTGGCGCGAGCGCATTGCACGACTGATTATTGCACCATCTCTCACCTCTACCTCCAGTGCCAGCAGGCATCTATCTCTTCGATGATGCCAACAAGCACACAGGCTTCCCTCGTGGTTGGGAGATCCAGGTCGCGGTAGTCCTTTCCCACTACTAAAGGCTGGCAGTTTTCTTCGTTGAGATTTAGAGAGGACAGGGTCTCGGACGAGAGAGGAATGAGAGCGCCGCCGGAGGGGCGAGGGAGACCAAGCCCGAGGGTCTCGGATTCCCTAGTTCCGCAGGTGGCGTTCATAGTCGGGTTTCTTGCTGATCAACCACCCGTAAGATCCTCCGTTCGGATCGGATCATGGTCCAACGTTTGGACTATATGTGCAACAATGGTAATAGCACTTCTACACCTGTCATCCACACGACACCTTCAAGCAAATGTGGGCGCTCTGCTATTGATTGAATAAAACACGGGAGCTTTCTTCGTTTTCTCTGACAGTAAGACTCTTGACTCGACGCACCTTTCCCAGGCATCCCAGGGCTAGCTCGTAAGCACGTGCATCCGGAGCCATGGTCCCGCCTGCTTGTATTCTCTCCGCGAGGATGTCTCGCATCACGTCAGGCTCTTGCTGCTCCAAACACTGCTTCATCACTGCTGCGTACACGTCACCCAGCCCCTGAGAGTAGCACCACATTGCCCCCCAGACACAAAGGGGTTACTGTAGGGAGGGATGCGTATCCTTGGACCAAACGCGCTCTCAGTTTATCTCTTGAACGGTGGCAGTACGTTAACGGTTCTCATATACGAAGTGCGGGTCATTGTGCACTTCAATATAGGTCGATACGACGAGAGATTGCTTGAATCTCCGAGTCCTTCGTATTGTAGGTGACGCATTACGCACTTCCACCATGGGCTTTTCAGTTGCTGTCGTTTACAAGAGCTCCGCGGTGACAAGAACGAACAACAAAGGTCGAAAGGCGGAAGACTTACGAGCAGATTGTCAGAATTACTGTACGCATTGCAACGGGGTTAGCTTTTGCCACTTGCCCACTTTGTAAGCACCATTTTCGCATATCGACATCAAGGGTTTGCTCTCCTCTCTTCATGGCCTCCACTTACCATTGTGTCCCAAACTCCAAACTTCAAGATAATATTGACCATGTTCGAGAGTAAAGAAAACGCGTTTGGGTTGTAGGGGGGACTACTGTAGATATCGAATTCGGAATCCTCAGCGTGGTGTAACGCAGAAACGTCTTCCAAGATGCTGGCGCCATGTATCAACCCCAACCATCCGACCGATGGATGGCCTGGGGTCCCAGCAACACAAAAACAACACCGTGCGGTTATGTGCTGGTGTTCTGATTGGTCACACGCGCGCTTGATTCCATTGTCCCCCACCTCTGCTGAGTTTCCGAGCTTCGAGCGGGCTTCTTGGGCCATCTCTAATGCCACCGTGCAGTGGCAGCCAGCGAGAGCCTCGACGGCAGCCTTGTACGCTGCCACAGGAACCTCCTGTCATAACCGTCAAAACCCGAGTGGAGTGAATTGGGGAGTCGACGGACAGCAAATTGCGGCTTGACGTGCAAGTTGAGCAAATTTGCAGCAGCGCTACCTGCTCTTGTTGTAGAAGTGGACATACGTATCCCAGCAAGGTCCTACCGCAAGCACAATGCCGTGTTGGCGATAAGAGTACGCGGCGATGGACTTGACATTCACCGTGGGTGCCACCGAAGGTATCCTTCCAAAAGCAGAGAGGTAGAAGCCAGTGACCGAACCGTGAGGAAAAAATTATTCAAGCATTGCTACCGTTCAAAGCTGCAGAGAAGGCGCGTCGTCGGAATTAGGAACTAGGATGTGCCGGAGGCATTGGGGTGATGAGGAGGGCGAAAGCCTCATCAATGGAAATAATGGAGATTCGGACAGAGCGAAGCCACAGCTTCAACAATACTTATGTCATACTTGCTGGAAGGATGGCATCCTATAGTGGGATAACGTCGATAGGAGCCGAGCCCGTGCAAATCGTACCCTGGAAGAATAAGAGAAGCCAACACACCGTGGGACTTGTCAAGCGACTTTTGTAGTGCCAATCACACACACAAACGGGTTGGTTGCTTGGTTGCACCTCTCCGGTGCACACAAGGCTGAAATGGTGACTGTCGACCGCAATCAAGGCCGCCGCCGTTCACACCGAAGAAAATGTACCATGGAAGGTCAGAACGTGCTGGACAGAAAACACAAGAAGGTTGTGGCTTGTGTACCGCCGATCGAATCTACAGCCGATGCCGCGGCATCCTATCCAACGTGGATTGTATAGGATACACCTTAGAGACACGTCTTGGCTCTCTCGAGTCTCCCGACAGACTAGCGGGACAACCATAACGAAAACAAAATACAACGAATCGTGCGGAATCAGACGCAAAATACCGCGGCCAACTACATCATGCGAAACACCCCGTGACCTCATGCAGTAGACGACGTGCCCAACAGCTATCAACTACTCAACTATGCTCCCACCAGCGCTGCCCCGTACAACCTTCAACGACGAGGGGGATGGCCCAAACCTACTAATACTGGTATTCGAAGAGTACTACCCCTTATACGGTATCCACTATGATACTGCTGAGCTGACAAGAGCAAGAGTCATAGGAGGATCAAAGCGAAGCACCCACCTTGCCCCCCTCCTCGTACCGCCTCAGCACCTCCTTCACCCCTCGACCCCCCTCCCCTTCCCTGTCACGTTTCCCAGGCCGCCTCCCGGAAGGTGGAGCCGTTGTCCTCCTCCGCCGTATTGCGCCCAGCATCCAGACCAAGCCCTGCGGCGTCGTCGGCACGAGAGGCTCCCCCGTGCTCACCTCAAAGGCCTCGCACAGCTGCAGCGTAAGGTCGTGCCTCCTGAGCCTGTGGTAGGCCTTGGCTATGACCGCGAACACGTCGACGCCTGCAGCATCCGCAAGGGGTGGCGGCGATCCCGCGGTTCTCCTGGTGCTAGAGCTAACCATCAGGTCTACGATCTGGTGGGGTACAACAGGGGAACGAGGCATGTGTGCGTCAGATACAACGCGCAAAGCCGTGACGGAGCGGCGCTTGTTGAAGGTGGTAGGACCATAGATAGGGAAGAAAAGGAAGCCGGTTGGAAAGCGGTGTCGACAGCACCACAACAATCGCTACTGCTGCTCTCGCTGCACAGACTTGAGTGCGTACGGTACGCAGAGCTAGATCAAGTGTACCGGTTCGCTATGTTCCCCGCGGATGAATGTAATGTTCTACAGGCGATTGGCGAGGAAACCTACAACTAGGTTGGCACCTCCCTGCTTGACAACATAGTCCCGCACCACGTGTGATCCCCCCTGCAGAAGTACGGATCACGGCAAGCAACACCCTCGAGGATGGGAACCTGCCCTGCCCGATCCTGTACTCTAACCGATGCATACAATACTCCCTTCGCTCGCCGTCGGCAACACTCGAAACCTTCGGCAATTGGGGTAACCGGACCTTATGTGTGGGAAAAATACCGCGCTGATGAAATCTGTACGATAAGAAACACTGCTATTGTGCTGATCGGTGCTGCTGCTGGCATGGACGGTCGCATGATATGGTATCCCTGTCTGCCCTTTCGGTAAGCGCCCATTCATAGGCTTGACATCTGGGTACATGCATACATGGATGTGATGCACCTTCACCTTCTCCTTGTGTTGCGGCGCGACCTGATGTGTGTAGCCGATGCCGAGCCACAGGCGCCAGAATCGTGGCAAGAACCCAACAACCTTACCGCAGAGTCAAGTTAACATCGCAAACCCACACCCCCGACGCACATTAAGACTACCTCGTTACCTACTGCTGTAGACCCTGCTCCCCGCAGCCACGCCGCCAGCACATCGGAGTCAGCCCAAGATACAGCACCCGGTGGGTAGTCTAGACTACAAAAGACTAGATCTACGAGGCAGTCTCCAGCGGAAAATACAGAAGCAGAACCCTTGTCGCACTATACTGTTTCCAATGCGCTAGCATCAGCCATGCATGTACAACACCGTAATGCACACAGCAAGTACCCTCGGGGATACTCACTGCGAGCAATGGGCGACCTCTACCGCTGATGCTGTCATTGCAACCAGAAGCACCCTCGTGGTTACCACATACCTCTGGTGACAATATGTCCTGCCCTGACCGCACCATACGCGCCACATCCCGACCCAGAGTGGCTGGCCTACGGTCCAACATATACTCCAAGCTCCCTTCCCCATGATCCTCTGCCAGCGATGTTGCTTCTGCACCACCCTGCTCTTGCTTCCCTTGCTGCTGCTGCTGCTGCTGCTGCTGCTGCTGCTGCTGCTGCTGCTGCTGCTGTGCGGACACGGTGTTACCGGGGTCTGCGGTATCGGTATCGTAGACAGCGAATGTCCCTGTAGAGCGTGATCGGCCTCGGGCCCTCCATCGGCTCAGGCCTCCTCCTCCTTGCCTCAAGCTCGTGGCATACGCTCTTCTCGCAGCGTAATGGATCATCGCTCGTGCCAAGCAGCGTAATGATCAGTAAGTCACAGGTCAGCTCGATCAGATAGGGTGGGGTGGCCGTAAAATCATTGGGTAATCATTGGGGGCTCCGCAGTGCGGAGGAGTTGATTGATCCACCACAGGCGTGCGACCCCAACGGGAGACCAAGGCATGTTGCGTTGTCCCCGTGTATTTTAGGTGAAATGCCCGCCTGCAAACGCCTTCCGTCCCTGTTGCTCTCTTGTCTCGCCTCTGATCCTCTCTCAAATCCCATCAACCTAATGTATTTTACGGTCATTCTACAGCAGTGGTACACACGGCGCTCCCACGGCACCGATTTTCGTTGTCTATGCTTAGTCTATTGATGTATACAGAACGACGATTGTGCAGCTGTGCCGTCGTAACTTTGAGTCAGGCCGGTAGGTAGACTAGAGACTAGACTAGTCTAGTCTTTCTATCGAACTTTGGTTAGCTGTCCATTGCTGGAGATCGCTGTATCGCTTGAAGGTTACACTGCGACCAGGAACACAACCTCTGCTGCGGGCACACACGTATAAAGATCTTGATCTGATCATATCCTTACCCTGTTGCGGATCACCGGATCCGGATTACAATCGTCTGTAGACTATATAATTGGCCTAGGCCTCTAGACTAGTCTAGTCTACAGTCATAGTCTAGTCTACACGACCAACTAAACGTCATTACGGGTAGATTCGCCTAGATTCAGAGTCAGTTATCAGTTCCACGCATTTTTTACCATGAGTCTACATAATAAACAATTCATTCCATGGAAAAAACGTCAACATTGCTGTTTTGGCCACGTAGTCTACATGTGCATACATGCCGCAACGAAGACTTGCGTTTGCACACATAACTAGACGAGAACACGTCTCTCGGAGGACATCGCGTTGCCCAAGTGAATGTTGGCCCGCCATACTTTGACAATCTACATTACGGGGGCTGGCACCTTGAGCGGGTCAGTAGCAACCTCCCTAGCGTAAGGCGAAGTCGGACAGAAACCAACCCTCCGCTAGAGAATTTGCGGGCACCACCACCATTTTCATCGATGTATTACTAGAGTAACTCAAACAGAGAGAGAGCCTTGACTGGTTGCTCGTTGTTGTTGAGGCGCTGGTCCTCCCAAGTTACGGGGAAAGCTTGTGAAATCACCGGAAGAAGAAACCCAAAGGGCTTTAAAAACTACATTGCACGGCCGGTGAAACGACGAGCGAAGTGTCCAGAAGGAATCGGGAACAACAAACCAACATGAGGGATGTAATGATCACACACACTCGTGGAAGAGGGGAGAGGATGCTGTGTTCGATGCAGGTATTTTAAGACTACAACAATCTCAGCGCCCGCTTAAACCAAGAGGACTCACTGTACATCGAATGTGAAGGCGACATCAGTGTCACGTGGCCCTTATTTGTGGTAATATCTCTCATACTAAACAAAAACAGTCCCGTACTTACCACAACCTTTGAAAATCCAAATCGGCTGTTTCTGAGTAGGCAACCCGCAACTAAAAATACGCTACAGAATTTGGCAACATAGTGGTTTCGCTCGCGACTCCTCAGATCCCGCCGTGCCAAATGCCAGCAATATCTCTCATACTATACAGTATCTCTCATATAAATCTTCAACAATCCAAATCGGTTCTTTCTCAATAGTCAACTCTCGACAAAAAGACGCAACTTGGTACACAGAATTTGACAACATCGCGGTTTCGCTCGCCACTCCTTACGCCCCGCCGTTTCGAACGCCAGCCATATCTCTCATACTAAAAAAATGCCTCTCATATTTGACAACAACTATGGCGTATTTTCCACAACCTTTGAACAATCCAAATCGGCTCTTCCGAATAGTCAACTCTCCACTATAAGACGCTACCGGGTACACAGAATTTGACAACATCGCGGTTTCGCTCGCCACTTGTCAGGCTCCGCCGTGCCAAACGCCAGCAATATGTCCCCCAGCTCAGTTTCCGAGCACATCAACACCCTTCAATACTGAAGTACTGCTGTAGAATGCCGGCAATCCACATGCATCTCTGCACAGCCCTTACCCTAAAGGGGGACACCGTGTTGGCAGCTCGCTTCAGGCTCACCGGCAACACTCTTCGCAACTCATTTCGTTTCCTCAATCGCCAATAATTTCTTTACCTCAACCTTTCCTCTCTGACTCTTCGTAGGGCGTCCAACACGCCGCAGAGCGCCATCTCAATCTCAGCATCCTTCCGAAAGGCATCGCTGCCAGAAGCGCATCGTTCAACCTCTATTTCACCTCCACCAGAGGACCCCACGGCATATCCTCCCGGTTCATCCACACACGATTGAGTGATGTGTACCCCAGATTCACTCGCACCCTTGACATTTTGACATCGATCTACCATTGCAGACCTTGACAGCGGGGGGCTCGGATCAGCATCGTTAGACCGTAGTCCAAACTGTTTACCGGAACACTCTCCGTCTTTCCGGGAAGTGGTACGACCCTCCCCCCTCGAGGGCGCTCGACACTCGTCGCCATCGCTAGCACAGACATCATCACCTATTTTCCAAGGCGGGTAATCCACCGAGCCTTTCCAATAGTCTTGAGGGCGGAAGATGTAGATGTTTGGCCTCCACGTTTCCAACCCCATGGTTTCGTTCGACGTCTTGTACGTGACGGTCGGCGGTGCATCAGTGGAGACGCCCCTTTTTTCGGTAACACCAGGATGTGGCCTAGACGCTCGGGGCGACGGGAAACAAGAAAATTTCCCCTGTTGTGGCAGGGGGGAGGCGCTCAGCAACGTGAAATTGGTCAGATCACAACACAGGGGCGCCTGCGAACAACTGGCCCACAAGATTTTCGTGCTTTCGCTCAGAATGCACACAACAATGTCAAACGGTCGATTCGCGATGTCTAAACTAAGCGATCCGGGATCCCATCCACACCATGCCCGACCAAGCAAAGGACAATGCAGTCTTCTTGCCTTGTCTGCTTTAGCTCGCCGGGCCGGTTTCACCCGATTTCTCACGACTGCCCCGAACAAGCTGGAATACCCGCAGGCCTGCGGCTGGACCTCGACGTAGCCCTTGTGGAAAGCGAGGTCAAATCCCCCGACGTGCTCGCGCACGGGGGAACCAGCGGGGACCCTGCTCACGAAGGGTTAGAACATTGGCCGTAGACACCGTACGGACGTTCTTCGGTGTAATACTGCTGCTCTTCCTCCCGTAGGGGCACAGAACCCCTTTCGCCTACTTGATCACATGAAAAAGTGGGGCAACCAATGTTTCTAGTATTAACATTTCAACACATGCCTTGGACTCCTGCTGGGGTTTAATCTCAACGGGCACAGTCTTTCAATGATTGCAATGTACTTTCTTCAATAAATACCGGCTTCTGGAAACAAGTGGCCGAGCGGTAGGTACGCATGTCAAGTTCAGTGTGCCCCCGTTTAGATTTCCGCTTGTTATCCGTGAGGAAAATGAGAGGAGGTAGACACCCGGAGAAACAGCGAGGAATGTATGCTCTCAACGTTACACTTTGCATAATATATGACGTCGCTAGTTTGACGAATCATTTCGTTCGTTATATGTAGCAAAATGCACATTAATGGCAACGTTCTTGCCTGCCCTCGACGTCGACAATGTCCAGCACGTCTCCAACCATCTGCTTCTTAAGGCGGAGGTCATCCCTGTTGCTCGCGCCCAGCGACGGGGAGGCGTTGACCTCTAGCAGCCAGGGTCGGAGGGTTTCATCCACGAGAACGTCGTATCCGAAGAGCTGCGCGGTAGCAGAGGCAGGGACAAAGGCCCCCGTGGGCTGACTAACTTTGAACGTATCGCACAGAACGCTTGATCTCGACTCACACAATGCCGATGCAAGCAGTCGTTGCCCGCACCAGATACCTAAGTACACTGTAGGGTAGTAAAGGCTGCAAGGATAGTCCAACCCCTCTCGGGGCTCGCGGGGTCCGTGCGCCAAAGGAAAAAAACAGTGTACGCCGTGCGGGTTGGGTGTCATATATGGCAAAAATTCGGCGCGGTGCAGTACACCGGTCGCCCCGGTAGTCTGGTGGGTAACCTCGCAGCCTGCTGGTCATCGTTTTGAGTCCCGGCAGAGTGAGTTTTTTCTCGCTTATTAAATCCTGGTCTAGGATGAATGCGACGCGTTACAAAGCTTGTTGTTAGTAAACCATAATCGACTTCGTAAGTCGCGAGGGAAGGGATTGCTGTACCCTTCTCGCGAGAAAAATATCTCAGGCAGGAACCGCAGGAGGGGGTCCAGCCCCCCCCTCCTACGTGACCCCAGTTGGGTCTTCTAGCTAGTAGAAGCGGAGGATAGGGGCCAGAGGGGCAGACGACAGAATCCAATGATGGGAGAAAAAAAAAAATTACTCTCTCTGTTGTCACTGCTGTCCTCTCTCTATCATGACGGGGAGGGTCTCGTCACCTCGAAGCTCTGCTTGTCATGTATGATGAGACGGTCCACGGAACGAATGGTCCTTACTACCAAAGCTTGGATTTCCCAGAAGAGCTTGTCCATGGCCTTTCGACCGTGCCGCATGGCCACGTACCACTTGAACTTCTTCAGACTCCTTCGAATCAGATCAAACGCCGCGCGACGCGACAGGTGTGCGTCAAGTCAGCATTCGGAGCAGCTTACAGCATGATATTGCGCGGATACAGCCTAACATCGTTGCGATGTTGTGGGGTCGTACACTACCCGTAGTTTTCCTACATCCAGTGATCCGACCGATGCTACTTTGCTAGCTGCCGAGTTGCCGATAAACCATACGCATCGAGAGACTGCCTCTTCCAGAGCCCTGAATGACCCACAGCCTGAACCCCACATGGATGCCTATCGGAAGGTGACACCACTTGGACGCACCATTTCTTGCCGGCGGCCGCACCTCGTCGCTGCACGGCGTGGTTCGTCAGGTGCATCAGTTCGTTCGCGAAGTGTGCCGGGTCGGCACTGGAGTGACAAGACAAGTCGGCGGGCACAAACAGGGCGACAAGTCGTCGGCGGCAGGTGATGGGCTCCCCAACAAATCTCCTATTTCGTGAATGTGCATTGGGGCTTGATATTTGAAGGGACTTCGTTTCGTCGCGGGGCGGCGGCACTCGTTCATAGCCGCAGTGGTCATTGGGCTCTTTGCTGGACCTGCCTTTTCGGTTAGGGATAGGGGGAACGTTAGGGTTCGGGTTCGGGTGAGCTTGTGACCGCGGAGGGCCGATTGTTGGCCACCGAGCCAAGCAAACGGCCGGTGATACTGAAGAGAGGTCAAGGCGGTCGTTCGTGTTCGTGTGGAAGAATTCCCCCACACCATCACTACATTGAGCTTTTTGTCCGGAAGTACTACTGCTAGCTCGAGCGTTCTGCCCAAGTTCAACATATCGGTTGTTTTGCCGGTGAAGCCGAGTGGAAAACATGTACGAGTTATACCACCAACTGGACCGGCAATACATTCGCGATCCCTCCCGGCGGCAACATCTGTTCTGATACCTATAACCAAAGACATGCTTCGTACAAACACGTGAGGTGAGGTAATGAACGTTTCCCGTGTTATGGGTGCGCTTCCACTACACTGCAATAGTGACATTGTGCTCGCCTGAAGCGAGTGCTTGAAAACTTAGCGAACCCGTCGCGGTAGATGTAGACCGTCAGAGGGCGGAAGCTGGTGACCAGCACGTAAAGGCGGAGGTCGAACTTCTTGCCGCCGATGACGTAGGGGTTGGAGATGTACCGCTGGACCACGAACGATCCGGGGTTCGCGGGGTCGTGCCTTCGAACCAACGAACCAACGAACCAACGAACGGACGAATGAAATAATGAATGAACGGACCAGCCAACGAAGAAACGAACCAACGCGCGTACGTGCGTAACGAAGAAATTGAGCAATCATCGCACGTCTAAGCCAACACGCCCTCGCCAGGAAGACTGATTGATGCCGAACACATTACCGGCCAGGTAGTATAGCTGGCACATGGTGCACACCACATGTCTGTTGTTTCCTTTCGTGCGGGAGAAGTGTTGCAACATGAAAACCCACGCTGCGAGTACTTGTGCATGTGCTTTTTTGTGCTTCACTGGCCCGACCAACCGGAAGTAACTGGCAAAACTCGCGAAGAGGTCCTCCCTGGAGGCTGAAGACACATGCGAGCTGCGGGACTTTAACCCTTATGTGACTACATGCACGATAGCAGTACGATAACGTTGTGTGCCGAAAGATCTCTGGCGCGTCTCGCCAAAGAGCAAAAAACCTGCCCCGAAAAGGCCGGCAGAGAGACCAAGAGGCAGCCCACGACACAAGCACGCACATGAGCAGTGTGCGGAGGGGTACACGCAGTACTATCATTTGTACAGCAGTAATGTCTCTGATGTGGGGCAAATATGTCCTTTCTTTCCAGACCTAATCTACTGCCTACTGTTATGAGATCCAAACGGAACATACCACGGGAGGGTACATACAGCACCCTCAACATGTGATCACCCCCGGGTCCCGCTCGCGCGATGGAGAGCAGAGACACCGCACCCCGAAGTCGATGCTAACGTACTACCTCGGTGCCTCATGCGGTCATCACTGCGGTGTTTGTGGCCCAGACTATTGGGAGTGTAGGAGGTCCGTGTGCTGTGTGTAGTGTGCGCTGAAGGGAAATTTTTTTCGGGACTACATGCTCGATAGCATGCACGATAACCCCTCTCTATCATTAGTACAAAGTTGTATAATTTGCCGTGATTTTTATGCATTTGTTGCGATAGTAATATCGTTCGGTCGATTTGCTGTGTGAGCCGGAAAAAGGTCAAATCAACCCAGTCACGTAAGGGTAAAAGCCTCTCCTAAAGGATGCGACGGGGGAGCACCTTGTGAGGTGTCAAACGTGAACTCGAACACTTGGGGGGGATTATTGTGCCCTGGCGATGCCGTAGGGATGCTTGACTTTGCTGTAGGCCATATGTTTCACGGTGGCCCTAACCACGAAAAGATAGTGAATGTCTCGTTCAGGGGAAACCCATCCATGACTTGCGATAGCTCTAGGCGTACAGCACGCACGGTGTTGCGAGGTAACGTCTAGCGCGCGGCTGGCTGACCTCTTCATCCTACGAATGAGATGCGGCTTGGCCCAAGCCTTGACGTCCGACAGCTTGGTAAAGAGGAATATCCCTTTCCCCTCCGCCGCTCCCGACGGTTTCATGACCCAGATACCGCCGCTCTCCTTGAACTCCTCCACAAACAACGCGTAGTCCTGCTCGGATGCCAGAAGAGCCATGAAAGTGAATATTCGTATGTGTAGTCACCAGAGACTCCTCGAATAGCTGGTGCGCGAGACGCACAGACACTCCGGGATCTCACGCGCCGGTGCTGGGAACGACGCAGCCACGAACTTTCTTGTCTACTAGAACCCCGGCCACCCGTTCCTACATCATGAGCTCAGGTCTTCTTTATGAACCACGGACTTTGCTACGGGAAGCGATGCGGCTGCAAGTGGCATGTAGCACACCAACATATGGCAGTACCTTAGGCATCTCGAAACTGACAGGGAAGAAGTTGTACGCCTGGGCTTCCGCGAGCTCGCCCCGAGCATACAGCTGCGCCTTACGCTTCTTGAGGTTCTTCAGCATTAGGTCCTGCCGAATTATGGACGGCAAAAGCGTACGCGAATTCGGCTGACGCTCCGGATACCGACTTAATCCCCCCCACATAAAAAATTAGTGGATGACAATTTGGCCCTCGTAGCATGTGCCACGTCTGTTTGCCCACCATTGGTAGAGCGGTCAACGGGCAACTTATTGTGTTTATGTGACCACATTCGCCAGGTTCGGTGTGTCTTTTGTAGCACCTTTCGACAGAGCTCATTGCTGTTGCGGAAGTGGTTGACCTTCTGCCACGGTGCGAGCTTCCTTGCGAATCGCATCGTCTCCACTGCCCACTTCGTGTAGCTCCAATGCAAGTCCCACGGCTTGCACGCCCTCGTCGACGACACAATGACGTCATCGTGCTCTTGCTGCGGTGGCGGTGAATCAGCGGTGCGCATGTTATCGCTACAAGGATCATCTTCGCAGCCTGTTACACCGTTCTCAGTTTGAGCAGCGACAACGGCGGGTAGGGCAAGCCGATCGCGTTCGTCGGGTTGACCGCAGTCTGGTCGCGAGGGGTCGAACCCATCGGCTAGTTCTTCCCAGCTGTCCACATACGGGACCGTGAGGCAGTCGTCGGGCACACGGGGCGGGCAGGACGGCTTCCATCCTCTCGATTCCATTACCTGTGGGATTGAGGCAAGTGTGAAGGAGCGAAACGCCCCGGACACGGAGAGCCGTCGAAATTATGTCTCCCACAATACAGAGGGCCCCTGTTCATGTCTTCCTGGGACTACTCTACCAAGTGCACCAAGATTCAGATACATTGGCGGCGCACACACAGGGCATGGGTAAATGCCGATGGACTTGGAATTTATCGCGACGATGTGAGCACTCCTCCCTGTTTGTTAAGCAAAGCATTAAATACCAGGTACACCTGGTACACGGGCTTCATGACGTAGTCTGCGATAGCAGCTTGGGTCCAGGTGCTGGTTCCCTTAAAAGTCACAACCGGGTCTCGTGAACCATATGCATAACGTTGTATATTGAGAGGACGACACATGTGTCAATACGCTCATTGCGGAAGTACGTAGTGACTCGGAAAGCCGTACCGCATGCACGAGGCCCTTGAACTCGGATCGGAAGTAGAACTCGCCCGATCTCCTCCGTTTCAGCCACAAGCGCCTTTTCTCCGTTATTGTCATGGGTGGACACCCCTCGTCTTGGTCTGCAAATGCCTCGATCGGCAACACCTTGCTACAACCAGCTTCTTTCTCCCCCGCGCCGTTTCCCGTGTCTGCCCACAAACCGCCCCCAGCCACTGGTGCGCCTTCAACAAACTCGCCTACCTTACCATCGTCGGTGCCTACGTCCACATCGCCGGTGCTAGCTCGACCTACAGCAAGGATAGCAGGTATCAATTTGGAAGTGTTCGAGGGATAAAATGTCGGCCTTCCGCGCTGACCCACTCACAACGAACTTTGCCAAATTAAAATATGGCATGCCGTGTGCACTGGCGTTGCCAAAGAACATGCACAATAGTGCGCTACACATACAGCTGGGCCAGTAGTCTAAGTGCGAATGTTTCCGCCCTTGCGGCCTGTTCATGTCGCTGCTGTACACTGCTGTCGTACTGTAGTATGATAGCAACAGTCCCTCTTGCCTGTACAGGTTGCGATTAACGCCCACGTAATGCATGCACCATGCGGCATGCGTAGATCGCAAGGTGCATAGTCTACCGTATACACGTAGTATTGTCCTCTCACGTGGTCGCCGTTGATGTTGATCCCTTGAGTACAGTCTTTTCGAATGCTGAGCGGCCGACGATCTGGGTCGCCCGGGAGGTGACGCGGTCGTCTGCCACGGCCAAATCGAAGCAGATGACACTGAGCGACGTCGCTGTGGCGGGAAGCGTCCAGAGCGACCGTTCTCCATGATATTTCCTTTAACTGAGCTTGAAGCAGCAGCAGCTACCCACTCTCGTCGGGCGGCGCTCGTCGAGATGCCGCCCAGGCCGTTTTTGAATCACTCGAGCCAACTGCCGGGATGCAGGATGCCATCTGCGAGCCCCCTCATAGGGCTCTTTCCAGACCCTCTTTCCCGCCCTGTCCTCGCGGCAAAGTGCGCGTGCTTGTGCGTGTGGCGGCAGGTAGAAGGGTGGACTGGTTGCTCACGCCGCATAGTTGAGCTTGTGAGGAGTTTACTTCAACAGGAGCAGCAGCAGCAGCAGCAGCAGCAGCAGCACATAATGACTCTGTTGGTGCTTAATCCCCCCGCATATCTGGGGGTCGATCCACCAACTCACCAACGGCGAAAGGCCACCTCGTACCCGTGCTTGCTGTGCACGATCGCGGTGCATCCGAAGCACAGAGAGCTTCGAGAACCTCGGTGGTTTCTGTGGCTAAGGGACGTATCGATTTTAGCGCGACGATGATGATGAGCGACAGCAGGGCGACAGGACAGAGGTGAGTAGCATCAGGTGCATTTTCTACACCGTCTACTACCGCTGTCACTGCTGATGCTACACTGAGCGCGTGTCTTAACGCTCTAGACCAAACAGGGAACAGGGAACAGGGAACTTGGAATTCCCTGTTCCCTGTTCCGTGTCGTCGTTTCTTAACACACACCTCACGTCCAGGGAACACGGAACACATGAGCGCGCGCATGCGGCCCGCAGGTCCTTAAAGGCAACAAATACAACCATCGGATGCAGAGAGACGAGTGAGGGGTAGAGGAAGGAGGAGGTGGTGTGGGTTTCGAAGGAACCCGTTGACGAGCACACATCAAATACATGTGCTAGGCATCGGTTGGAAAAGGCGGTGCTCGTCATGCAATCCGCACCCTCGACAGTGCTCTGGAAGGCTGGCTTTTTGACTTATTGTCCATGGGAGCTTGCCGTTTCTTGAACACTTTCTTTTCCCCGATACAACGGCTACGGGAGCATCCGCCGCCGATTTTTTTTGCATGCGAGACCAGGGACACATGATGATGGCGGCATACCTAAATACAGGTTGAACTGGCAGTATGCAGCCTTTGGTAGCCACATGCCCGAGAATGGCCACACACATCCCACCACTAGCTATCCACCACGTTTTAAATTGCCGCCGAAGAGCCCGTGTTCCACGTTCCCTATTTCGTGGCCACGGGCTGAGAGTCTTTGCTAGATATTGGCATTTAGCAACTGACATACGGTTTAATGTGAAGACAACAACAACAACAACAACATGGTCTGTTGGCTAATTTTAATGAAGCGGAGTGGCCAAAATTGGGTACACCCGGCCCCAATCCGGCCATTATCGGGTACACTTGGTTGACACAGTCGGCAGCGCCCTCCTGGCGCTATTTGATTGGCCGACGCCTGCCCCTACCCGGCCCTGACCCTATTCCCACCGGGTGCACCCGATCTTGGCTACTCACCCCCCGGAGGGGTACCTGATTTTACTCTCGCCCACCCGAAAATGGCTGGGCTATTCGACCAACAGACCACCAGCAGACCACGCTCACGAACACACGTCACCAACACCCCGCACTCGAGTTCCGACGCTTCCGACGGCGGGCGGAGGCGGACCTAACACGGCTAACGCGGCGGAACTCTCGTTTGAAGCGGATCAGTGGATCTCTCTCCTGCAACGCGGCGGAACTCTCGTTTGAAGTAGATCTCGCTCCTGCAAGTAGATCTCGCTCCTCAACCCACCAAGTCTCTCGTGGTTAATCTCGGCACTTGTGCCTGAACGGTAGACTGGCATCGGCAGAATATGAGCGATGAAGTAGGGAACGCCGCGGTCCTCGCGCAAGGCGCGAGCTACTTCACCACCAGCCATCTTAGGACAGCGTTCATGCTGCGTGTACCACCACTCTCTCTATCTTTCCCCGTCTCCTGTGGCAAGCCCGCAGTTCCTTGTCTCTCCCACGTACTCACGAGAAGTCGAAGTCAAGGAAGTAATATCGCTGTTTAATCTGAGGTCCCACGGCATCCATTGCTTGCTGCTGCTGCATTACTGTACGATCCTCTTCCTACGCAACAATGTGTCATGTATCTCCGGTCTTGATCGAGACATAACCACCGGCATCCACTGCTTGCTGCTGCTGCATTGCTGTGTACGAACGACCCTCTGCGTACACAACAACGTGCCATACATCTCCGGTCTTGATCGAGACATAACCACCGGCATCCACTGCTTGCTGCTGCTGCATTGCTGTGTACGAACGACCCTCTGCGTACACAACAACGTGCCATACATCTCCGGTCTTGATCGAGACATAACCACCGGCATCCACTGCTTGCTGCTGCTGCATTGCTGTGTACGAACGACCCTCTGCGTACACAACAACGTGCCATACATCTCCGGTCTTGATGTGTCTAGACTATTCATGTATTCCAGACGAAAGCGACACCCTGATGCTTTTGTGCCTGATGCTTCCGTGGACATATCTGAGCTGCGTCATGTATTTGTGTGCAGCTCAAGTGATCACGTGAGGTATTGAGAGGTATTCGTCCACCGCCTCCCGCCTGGCCCTCTCTCTCCTCCCTCTCCGGTACGGAACGAAAACCGAGAGAGGTCCGCCGTCTGCGGTGGCTGCAGGAGGAGTCTTGCAGGAGAGAGATCCACTTCAAACGAGAGTTCCGCCGCGTTAGCCGTGTTAGGTCCGCCTCCGCCCGCCGTCGGAAGCGTCGGAACTCGAGTGCGGGGTGTTGGTGACGTGTGTTCGTGAGCGTGGTCTGCTGATGGTCTGTTGGTCGAATAGCCCAGCCATTTTCGGGTGGGCGAGAGTAAAATCGGGTACCCCTCCGGGGGGTGAGTAGCCAAGATCGGGTGCACCCGGTGGGAATAGGGTCAGGGCCGGGTAGGGGCAGGCGTCGGCCAATCAGATGGCGCCAGGAGGGCGCTGCCGACTGTGTAAAACAAGGTACCCGATAATGGCCGGATTGGGGCCGGGTGTACCCGATTTTGGCCACTCCTCTTCAATGAACGAGGGAGTGAAAATTATTGTGCGGCGTAACTACAGTACCTCAAACAGGAAACGTGTGGCACTTGTTTCCAGGAAAGTTATTTTGTGTGGCCAGCCAATCAGATAAAAATTCTGAGTTCCCTGTTCCCTGTCCTGAAAAGGGACGTTAGGACACGCCCTGATGGTCGATGGGCGATACCCCTCCCTGCGCTGCTAGCTACCGTCCGAAGAGAGGAGGGACCTGGGACAACGTTGTTGCAACCCAATGAACTACTGTGGAGGGCTACTCAAGTACACATGCACCGCCGCATGTTCTCGATAAGGATGCCCCAAGCTTTCGTTTTTCACTTTGAGGAAGTTTGATAACTGTCTGTCGACAACAAAAATAGCTACGATCTTCCGCATGGTTATGCATACGTTAGCCTACGTGAAGCTATTGGTTGGAATAACAACGACACGCTGCCAAAACTTCCCCAATCCATCCTTGTCCAGAGGGTTCGCAAATTCGAACTACACATGCGTAGCCGGAATAAACTGGCGAGTTTGGCAGGATCACCATCACCCGGCTCTTTCCGTGGGACCGAAACCGTTTGAGGACCCCGCTTGTGCAGCTGCTGTTGCGGTGGTAACTTGTCCCGCCCGCCGCACAATCCCGTCACCTATTGTAGATGTTGGCGTTTCGCGCTTCCGGCTGCTTCAACACGTTGTATGCTATTTTATGCGGTAGACGACCCCGAAAATATATTCTTCGTGACGTGGTGCTTCTATAGCGACGCCCACGCCTGCTCCCACGCGTGCAATCTAGTCTTGGTCCCCAGCAAAGAATGATGAATGGAAAATGACATGTTTCTTGCGTCCCTAAGTGGGTTAATTCATCAGGTTGGCGCTGTGGCGTGCAACAAGCAAGGCACAACCGCGCAACAACGAGGACCACCTTCAATTGATCAGCAACAATATTCGCGCTGACGCCGAATATGATCTACCGTATACGACACAAGATAACACACCCCCTGGACCGATTGTCGAAGCTCGATTACTCCACGAGGAAGAGGGTGCATGAACGAAGCGATACATTTTCGGAGAGCTGTCGACCAGACTGCTGCAACGCCGCCGTTTTCGCTCTGTGACTCTTTCTCCTGTTGAGAAATCGAGCTTTGGAATTCGGCCCAGGGGGGGTGGTATCTTGTGTCGTATACGGTACTGCTTGTTCTTGGCGGGAACTCAATGGAGCATCTGAGTCACACATGAAATTCATACCAAGCATATGCCACAAATGGTGAGCTTTTTCTCGTGCTTAAGTATAGACAGCCGATGTCCCGCCTCTCCAACACCAATCGCACGAGATAGAGATACTGTCACCTCCACATGGGTAACCCCGACCGCCATGATGATGCCTCCTGCGCCTCCCCCCGCCCATACAGGAGCTGGAGCGGATTTGGGCCTTCTATCAGAACAAGAGTGACAAGTGCGCCTCCAAGCCCAAGCTTTCCGGCCCTCCACGACAGGCCCGCCTTCCTTCGACACAAGCTCCACCGGAAGCTGGGCAGGATGAGGGGTGCACCTGAAGCCCTCTCTTCCACCGCAGCGGGCGGCACCGGCGTTGGTAATCAGGGCGGCGGTGGCGGCAACAAGAGCAGTAGCAGCAGTGGTGCCGGGCGATGGCCCTGGCGTTACCACGACGACTACGACGACTCTCCGGGATGACCCAGACCTCAGTACAGCAGCCCGGTCGTTTCGACTGGCGGGGTGATGCGTCCGACCCCTCAGGTGGGGTTGGGTTGGGCTGTGTGTGTGTGTTTTTTTTAGGAGATTGGACGATAGTAGGGTACAGCCGCCACGTGACGGGTGTGCCTGCGAAAAGGAGGTACAATACTTGTAGTTGTGTGTGTGTGAATACTTGCTTTTCCACACAATTGCCTCTGCACGCGGACGGACCGTGTTTGCCTATCCCCTCCGTCCTCCCGTGCCCCCACTTCAGCATCTGCCCTAGCATACATTGAAGTGGGTATCCCCTCCCCGCGGGCTCGTCTCAACGAATAATTTCCTGTGGGCACTGCTGTCAACCAGTTGGTCATTTCGGACCGTCTGGCCACACCGTTGACTCAAGCTTGAACACACTGGCTGAACGACCGCAAACCAGGAAGACGTTGTCATGGGCTGGAGTGGCGGCGGCGGCAGCTGCGGCGGCAACAACAGCAGCACCGGGGCCACGAGTCCGCGCAGGTCAGTCTCGAGCGCGATGGCGGGCACGACGTCATCTTCACAGCAGGGCGAGGACGGGAACGGGGGGCGCTTTGGTTGGAGTCCGTCCTCCCCGACAACCCCTGCCCCTTCTCTGCAGCAGGGGAGCGGTAGGGGTGGTGTTGGCAACGTGGACTACGGCATGGGCTTCATGGGTAACAGCAGCGGCGACGAAAACTTGACCACCGAAGACCCGTACGTGCGGCCTTCCCTCAACAGAGCCATCATCGAGCTGTCGGACACCTGCCACCGGCTGCTGTCGTTCAAGGTGGGCGAAGCCAGGGTTGCTTGTTGCTGCTTGCTCCGGTTGCTGCACAGTTGACGGCGCGTTGTACTTGTCGATGCGGTANAAGCCAGGGTTGCTTGTTGCTGCTTGCTCCGGTTGCTGCACAGTTGACGGCACGTTGTACTTGTCGAGGCGGTATAAGACTCCAAACCGTGAGAGACCCGCCTCAATTGCCTGGGCGCTGGTTATTTTCCCCCCGCATTCGGGAGGGTAGTCCCTGTCCTACAGTACGTCCTCGAGTATATTCTGTGAGTGCGCAAATGAATGACTTTGTGCTTTGAGGAGAATGCTGTCCCGCAGGCGAATAGACATCGATTTCCAGAGCACGTTTGCTGGGGAAGTAGTGCCCACCTCTTGTTTTGCTGGTGCCCTCAACTAGACGTCAACAATAAAGCGAGAACGAATTGCATGATAATTTGACGAATTTCATGATTTTTTTTGGTTTCATGCATGAACAAATAGATAAAACCATACACGGAAACGATGACAACGAACGATTGCAGGTGTAGGCGATGTGGGACTGCATCGCGCACGACGCTTTGGGTCAGCATGTGTGGCACTACCCGGCCTTCAAGAAGTACCGCGGGCTTGGCAACCTCACCCTGCTCGTGTACATGTGGGAGGTCAACATTTGGGTGCCGAGAGAGATACACCAAGAGACACACACGCAGGGAAAGAGAGAGGGGGACAGAGACAGAAGGAGAGACAGCGATAGCCCCTGTGACAGAGGCAGAGAAGGGAAGTAGATACATTTCTTGTCACACTCCATTTTTTCGTGATGGTAGGACTTGGAACAGGGCGAGGCAATCGTGTCTTTTGCGGTCCTGCTTGCACAATGTGTTCATGCACTCCATGTCGCATCACGAGCCAATCTTAAGGGCGAAACACGTCGGGTTAGACACCCTTTGCGATGTTTACGTGGTCTGCGTGTATACCACATGTATGGTCACGAACCCACCTCACGTCCCAACGCGTGTAATATTCTCAGTCGACACACTAAAGGAGTAACGATTTCTCATCTGACTTCGTTTTTCAGTCGTTTCGTCGATATTCTAGGTTTGGAGGCGTTTCGGTATTGATTACGAGGGGTGCCTTTCTCTGGATTCTGAGGGTTCGTAGGTCGACCCTTACGAGCAGATAACAAGAAAGCCTCCGAACATGTTGTCGTGTTACGCGATGGACATAAAGAAGGGCATGCCAGCCGTGCATCGCGCTGACCTCCGATCGTGGGACCTCCTGAAAGAGAAAAGATGGAGGAGACAGACAGACAGACAGGTGGCAGCTAGAGAGGAGAGAGACAGAAATACTTTGCTGACAGAAGTACATGAGAGATATAACAAGAGAGAGTAGTACCTATCTTGCGTCACGTAGGTTGATCGAGAGTGCCATCTCATGTCTCTGTGGTATCGAATATGAGGATCCCAACTCCTTCCACTTGTATCTATCTTCTTCGTCCAAACAACNAGAGTGATATTCGACGTGGTTGTGTAGAGGCGCGTGCCTCCGTCCTTCCTTTGCATCGGCAAGAATTGGACGGCCTCATGCACCCNAAATACTTTGCTGACAGAAGTACATGAGAGATATAACAAGAGAGAGTAGTACCTATCTTGCGTCACGTAGGTTGATCGAGAGTGCCATCTCATGTCTCTGTGGTATCGAATATGAGGATCCCAACTCCTTCCACTTGTATCTATCTTCTTCGTCCAAACAACCGACAGGTCTGCACTCGAGTTGCTCACGGCCAAGCGGTGACAGCTTGCATGTGCGGCAGTAGACTCAGAGATTCAGAGTGATAATACGAGGTGGTGTTATAGAGGCGCGTGCCTCCGTCCTTCCTTTGCATCGGCAAGAATTGGACGGCCTCATGCACCCTGCGCAGTTTTGTCTTGTTGCGTCCAGCGCTGTTCGCTTCTACTGGAGCCTTAAGGGTGAAAGGATGCCTGAACGCACTTAGCGACTATCCCCCGCTCCCCCCAATTCCCACCATTTGGTAGCACCTGTCCCCCCGTCGTCTTTTGCACTTAGTTTTGTGCCAAACAAAGTGTGGAACACCGGGTGCAACCTGAGCATCGCCTTCCTGGTGTCGTTCATCTGCTTCTACAAGTGCCTCATAACCCCACGTGGATGCCGATACTGTACAGTTCGCACGCACCTTCCCACTGCTGCTGCCGTTCTGCACGTTTCTGTGGTTCCTGGTGAGAGCGAGAGAGCTCAGCAACTCTCAGCCTACCCGTCACCGCTCCCATTCTACTGCCCCCCCCCCCCCCTCGTCCTCCTCCCCGGTGTATGCCATTGGGGTTGGGTTTTCGTCGCTTGGCAACGACGTTGTAAAGCAAGCCGTTTACTTCGTGACCTCGGCAACCAGGTTGTTTTTTTGTGCCCTGCTTCTTTTTTTTTCGGTTACCATAATGGTGGTCGAGTAGATTATGTACATTGTGTGGGGTCGAGAACCCTCACTCTGCACAACGGGGACGATTGTACCACGTTGCGTAAAAATTGTCAAGCACTCTCGAGGCAGTTACGCAGTGCTTATAACTGTCTCTGGAAGTGGAAGCACCAGAAAAAACTATATATGGTACGTAATACGCTGCTATTATTTGTAAGCAAGGAAGANTATCTCACGGCGCTTCGCGCTTGGTGATGTGAGAGCCTGGTCCGGTGAGAACCCGGCGTGCTCCGTCCCGGCTTTGTAGGAATGCGAGGTCAATGGTCTAACGACTGCGGCATGCACGACTATGAGTACACAGTACACCCCCCTGATTCTCCCTTCACTGTGGCGACACGCGTTCAAGAGCGTGCCAAGAATGCAATTAGTGCGACCCGCGTGTGCCTTGAAGATGATACTTGACTTCCATAGCGCATGTGTGTTGTTTGTGTCCCACGAAAAGGTTTGTCAAGGAATTTCTCGACTTCTGGAGGCGCCTCTCTGCCCCGCACAAGTCTTGTGTAGAGCGTGGTGGGAAGAAGACCCGAAAAATTACCGGCATCCCTGCAAGTGGCAGAAACGATACTGGGGGCCAATCCTGAAAGTCTTGCGTGGCGGTTGGTAGAGTCAGTCGGAAAGGAATAGTTTGTTGACACACCTCCCTCCGTCTCCAACCAACTAACGCCTGCTTGGTCGCAAGTGAAGACTTGCCTCTCATCAGACGCCTTGGCATGAGCGGAGGGGGCTCCTGCGAGTCCTGTGGAAGACGACAATCTAGTCGTTCGGAAAGGTCCGATTATTTGAGGGCTACGTCGGCGCATCCTTACCAGGTACGGTGGAAGTTTTTTAGTGTTGCCTGAAACGTCGATAGTATGGAAAGGTCGATTCACGCTATGTAGCGAATAAGAATCGGAGACACTAGGGGTTATATAAATATTATTTTATTATATCACGATTCGTCTAATGAGTCCTACATCTTGATTAATGAATGCATTCGCTGCATACGGGGTTAGAATTTTTTTTTTTTCGTATATTTTTTGACCTCTCTCGCCCAATACTCCATTTCACGACTTGAAACCACGCAAGTGCGTTCATCACGTGCAGTTTATGAGACCTACGAATGGAATGACGCCTTGCTCATTATGACACCGACATTGACACCTTCGCAAAAGTAGACCTCAGCCGCTGTGTGCTTCCCAACATCCACGTACACGTTCTGCATGCATCGACGCGCATGGACGTGACATTACACAACACAAACATCGCCACCCTTTATGCATTCATCAAACGTCGTCACAACATGACAAGTAGTTACGATTGGCCATGCTCACTGCAGATTTACAGCATTCAGATGCCCCATGCTCGCTGCCGCATACGGGCAAATATACCGATTTTCTGCAGACAACCTCGCTCGCCAATCAAATTTTCGCCGCATATTATGTTTACCCGCATCTACAGTACGCATCTACGCATCTACGCATCTACGTATCTACATTTCCGCCGCAAT